AGGAAGGAAGGAAGGAAGGAAGGAAGGAAGGAAGGAAGGAAGGAAGGAAGGAAGGAAGGAAGGAAGGAAGGAAGGAAGGTTGGTTGTAATTATCCAATTTAGGTGCTTGGGAAACTGCACGTCCCAAAGTCCCTTAATGAGGTATTAAGGGGCATTAAGCAGTGACATCATTGCAAATCTGTGCAATGTAGCAGTTAGTTTATCGGCATTAAAACTTGGGTGGATCCTTATTTGAATCCTGACTTGCTGCAGAGGTTCACCAAAACAACCTCCTTGGTTTCGCAAGGCTGCTGAGAACATAAAATATAGGGGTGGATGGAAAACTATGCACTCTGCGTTGAAACGTTGAAAAGATGGCTAATGACAATATAATGAATCCGTGGTGCAACCACAGAAAGATTGTTCCAATTTGGGGAAATAAACAAGGCCCGAGTCTGCAAAACGTACTGTATTCATAATAAATGAATATAATTACGTTATGTATCCAGGCCTTTATTTTTTACATCTTCATCCCCTTTTCCTCCAAGGAGTACTAAACAGCGTTTGTCATTCTTTCCCATCATCCTCATATTAACCCTGTAAAGCAGGCTAGCCCATGCAGGAAAATATTCTAAGCTTTAGTGGGGAATAGAACCCAGGCAAGACACTCTAACCATTGCACTGTACTGCCTCCTGGATGATACGTGACCCGAAGAATGAAACATCTGGGGTGCGTCCACAGAAGATGCTTAGACTCCTGAATTCACTCGTTTTGGGGTCCTCCCAATAGGAAGAACACACATGCATTGGGTTCACACCTCACCTAATAGCCGCCCAGAACAAAATCAAGGGAAACTTTAACACAGCAGATTGTCTGAATGTACCTGCTAGGTTTTGACTTGATCGGGTTTGTTTGTTTGTCAAATGTATATGGTTAACCACATAAGAACCAAAGCTGCAGAAAACATCACAGGTAGATCCCTGGCATAAGTGATGCCTACCTGTCAGCCCCACTAGGTAGGCCAGTCCTTGAAATCCACTCCTCCGGAGGGCTAAAACTCCCTTTACTGAGGTGGGCTCTAATAACAGAATCGTGCTAAACTTCCTTCCCCTTCTTATACGCCCGTGAATCAGGGAGGTGTCTGTCTGAGCCACTTCCAAATGTTATCTGGCTGTTCTGGGCTTAAAACATGTTTCAACCCCTTTTGCCTAGATGCAGATCTCCGTCAAGGTAAGACCAGGTCAGAGACAGATTGTCATCGACAAAATCTACATAGGTGGTTGCAAACAGGGAACACCGACTTGATAGCACGTAATCAGCCCATCAATCACTTTCCTTACTCTCTACACCAGTGTTGTCCAAACTTGGCCACTTTAAGATGTGTGGACTTCAACTCCCAGAATTCCCCAGCCAGCCATGCTGGCTGGGGAATTCTGGGAGTTGAAGTCCACTCATCTTAAAGTGGCCAAGTTTGGACAACACTGCTCTGAACGGTGCCAGGTGCCCAGCAAACAAGGAGAGCAGACATATAAAAACAGGGACCGCTCCCAACGTTAATTCCCAAGACTCCCCCCCATCAGTTCTAATAAAAGAGCATCACAGACCCGAATGATGGAGTTCAGTTCTGGGGCGGTCACTTGCTTGGCTCGCTCAATGGCGCCCAGGACCTGCTGTTGGTGCTGGGGGAGAGGAAGGGAAAGAGGAGACAGGATCAGGAGACCATAATGAACCCATCCGCAGGAGGAGCAACAAGAGAGAAAGGGCGATGAGCCTACTTCCACCCGAAGATCCTAGGAAATGCCATTTCCCATTATTATTACTGTTGTTGGTCGCACAGTCAGCCAGATGTTTAGGCTGGATTTGGCTGCTGCTGCTATTTTATTATTCTGCACATTCTCCCTTGCCCACCTCCACCAGGAGGTCCCAGGACATGCCATTTTCCCTGGTGCTGTCCGCAAGAGAGCCACCGGGCCCCTTGAACCCCCCAATGTCTGCCATTATGATCAGAGCAGTTCCCAGGGCATCCTACACCCCTTAGGAAAGTGCTTAGTAAACCTGAAGCGTGGGTGGGGGGCAGGTTTGAAGGGGAGGTGAAGATTCAGGTGCTAATGTGGGACAGACAAATTCCATCTCGTACCTAATGGAGCCATTAAGGGTGAGCAGAGCTACCCTACTTTCTGAAAGCTAAATTAGGGTGTTTCTGCCCTGACCCCTTCCTCCTAAAGTTCCAGAGCAAAGAAAGGGGGGTTACCTCTTGCGAAAGATACGGCAAAACCTGAGCACAAATGCCATTCAACCGCTTGACAATTTCAGCCTGAAAGAGAAGATAACACCACGTTGGCACAGAGGATGGGCCTTCAATCCACTTGCTTGGTACAAGGCGGCAAAACCTTGACTTACGCACATGCCTCTGGCACGCAACCGACCCAGCTCCAAAGCCATTTACAGCATTTGGGTGAACGTGTCATTTGGCAAGCAGCGCCATCGACCTCCTTTGCACAACAGCGGCGTTAACGGGGCCGCTGCAAATGACATAGCCCCCATCAGTGGTGCCACGACGGCATCGTGCCAAGGCTGCAAATCGCCAGGGTGACACGCAGCCATTTTACTGAACCTCCTGAATGACGGGCAGCTTCTCCCTGCAAGTTGCCTGTTCAAAGAAGCGTCTGTCTTAGCGTTTGGGGAATCCACCTGGTGTCCGGTTTCGCGCAACCCTTTGAACCATCACATAAAGAAATTGTTGAAGGCTGGTTTGGGTAAACGCGTGCAGGTCTGTGGGACGGGCAAACCATGCCAGTTTATATGGAATGAGAACTGAGAGGGGTAAAAGTGAGCAAAGGAAAAGAAGATGGGAGCTATGTAGATCAGTGTTTCTCAAACTTGGCGACTTTAAGATGTGTGGACTTCAACTCCCAGAATTCCCCAGCATGGCTGGCTGGGGAATTCTGGGAATTGAAGTCCACACATCTTAAAGTCGTCAATTTGAGAAACACTAAGGAAAAGAAGATGGGAGCTATGTAGATCAGTGTTTCTCAAACTTGGCGACTTTAAGATGTGTGGACTTCAACTCCCAGAATTCCCCAGCATGGCTGGCTGGGGAATTCTGGGAATTGAAGTCCACACATCTTAAAGTCGTCAATTTGAGAAACACTAAGGAAAAGAAGATGGGAGCTATGTAGATCAGTGTTTCTCAAACTTGGCGACTTTAAGATGTGTGGACTTCAACTCCCAGAATTCCCCAGCATGGCTGGCTGGGGAATTCTGGGAATTGAAGTCCACACATCTTAAAGTCGTCAATTTGAGAAACACTGATGTAGGTAGTGGTTGAGTGGAGTTTCCCAACGTCACCATTGAAAAGGGGAGACAAATCTTTGTGTCCTCTTGATTTTTGGCTTCAAACAAAGGGAGATGAGAATTGTAATTGCAATTTCACACCACTGATCAGGGCCAGGCAAGAGAACCAAGAGATCGGCCTCTTGTCTTGAATAAAACAAGCCCAGCTCCTATTTGTGGCCCTGTTCCCAAAAATGCAGAGGGCGGCTTTGTAGTTCAAATCCGGGCTAACAATGGGTGCTGGAAGAATTGGCAGAGGTCCACCGGGCCACAGAGCAGCCGAAAAGCAGATCTCAGTGTAGAAGGAGACGAGGATAAAGAAACAGGCCGGGTGGAGCGAATCCGTGTTTTGAAATTCAATTTGGTTTCCCCCGGTACCTTCAAAGACCGGGTGTGGTCTGCAGAGCCTTGCCAAAGGCAGAATAAGTCAGAACGGGAAGATGATTACACGCACGAGGAACAAATCTGATTAGCCGCAATTGAATTTAAATGTCATTTAAATGCAATTTCAATTATATTTAGCTTTTGTCTGCGACCCGCCCAGCTGTTTGCAAAGGCTCTGCCTGTTTGGGGTGGGGAGGGTGGCCCTGCATGTCATCCAAGGCAGCACGTAGTTCATGTGGTCCATAATGCCCGCCAGGCAATACTGCAATCCCAAATCAAATACGAGGGAGGAGGAGGCAGCCTCAGAGAACCTAAGAGAAACCCACCCTTGATTCGGTGGTCTGCACCAGGCGGCCTGAAAAGTCCCTTGCCGAGAGCAGAACAATATTAAAATCTCACCTGCTTATGCATTTCAATGTTGAGGCCATAGGACATCTCGTAATACTGGAAGGGAGGGAGGGAGGAAGAAAGAGACAGTTAAAACACCGGCTTGCTACATCCAATCTATGCCTGTTTTCTGCCTCCTAAGTTCTAGAGTTGTCTGCACAGGATTTGGACACAGCTCATTTCCCAATTTTACGAAGAGGTATACACTCCCTGCCTGTGGAAGCTCTGTATTCTGATCATGGCCAGTCATGGCCTCTAAGGCACGCCCTGCCCACACACAACTAGATTAGAAACAGGCGAGGTTGTGGATTCTCCATCTCTGGAGGTTTTTAAGGTTCTGTGGTTCTAACTGGCTTCCCTGCCCACTGCAAAGGGCGGGACTAGATGACCTTTGGGGTCCCTTCCCACTCCACAAATCTGACCCTGACTGCTTTT